TGACGAACGCTCCGCGGTTCTTCCGAGCGTTAATGTATTCGGTGTAATTAGCCGGCGCTCACGGCATCGCTAATAAAGAGAAAATTATTGGATTCCGTTCGCCGATTGAAATAAACGCTCGGGGATCGCTTCATTGAACTTCGCGTCGATCGGTACGATTCATGCGCCACGGACCTTTGTGTTTCGAATTACAGTTTCTTCGAATGATCACCTTCGTTCCTCTCCGAGATACCATTTTGCGGTATAAAGAAGATTAAACGAATGATAAAGATAATTAAAACACGGTTCAGTAACACGGTAGAAATCCAAACGAATTAACAGTCGAACTGTCGCTTGATTAAATTGACTAGTTTATATTTTATTTGAAAAAATACAATGTATTCATTGATTCCGCGATTATTGGATTATTAACTTTTTCGATTATATGTACATAGGGCTGGCCGAGGCGAATCAGTCTGGACTTAACAGCAGAAAATTAATAGTTGGAACTTAGAATCGATGTTTCTTTCGTAGATTTCTCATTAATAGACGTTCAGCTTCGATGGCAGTAGAGAATATTATTAGAAAACTTGCAAACCATCGTGTTGTAAGGAAAAAATTGAACTGAATTTCCCAGTGAAAAATGTGCGTTTGTTTAATCATCCGCGGTAATGGCCGTGAGCGACGATAATCGAAGCTACCTGCACAATCCTCGATTTTTCCGTTTCAGGCAGCGTTTTAACGGGCGATCAATTTTTCGCAAATATTAATTCACCGATGACGTGCAAGATGGCGTGGGCTAAGAAGTATCTTAGAAGTGGGCAGACTTAATTAACGATCGAGCTTAATGATCTAGTTTAATGAAAATTACACCGGATACACGTTACGGATGGCGGCTTGTCGCGAGAATATGTAAACTACTTAGCTGGAAACAATTTGTGCGATTTTCCGCACCTTCTGTTATGAATAGGTTCCTTCCATAATGTACATGGACCGAATAAGCCGAATAATAAATTACTGACACAATTGCACTTTGTACTGTATAGGCACAATCAGAAATAAATGATTAATCGAGAATGAAGCGAATAAAGAAGAGACATAAACCAAGAAACATCATTTCAAGCGTTCAAGAAATTCCAAAGATATCATTACATTGATTTGTATAATTTCTAATATCGAGAGATGTTTATCCAAATGTGACAGTTTGTCAAATTAATATGATCCATAATTTTTGTTAGGATCTTTTCATGTGTCCACTTCCATGGAATATTAGCGTGAAATGATAATTCGACGCGAACAATCGCTTACGATTCTTTAGTTTGAAAATCTAGTTAGTCACAGACACAATCTCACTGCGATTCTTCGATAGAAAGCATCGAGTGGATCGATAAAATCGCGTCGCCACACGATAGAACAGAATACGATCATGAACGAATAGCTTCAATTTCGCTCAGGACTAATTAAACGTCGGGATAGTCGGTGATCCTGAATACTTATCGGATACCTATTCGTTCATTTGCTACCGCGGACTCGTTAACAGTTATTTCTATTGTTGATCCATCCATTGGGAATCGTATTGAAATCTTTCTTTCGGATGAGGATCAGGGATCCTTTTTAAATCAGACACAGGAAGATCAGTTTCTTTGATCTACACTGGTGCACGTAATTGGCGGACGAGAAGTTAAAGGAAGATAAGACGCGTTGAAAAGGTGCAAAATATTTTTACAGATAAGAAGCGACTTCATTCAGCGGGGTAATGAAGTATCTGTAGAATCAGCGTAGATTAATTCATCGATCAAGATCAGATTGAATTGCAATTAAAGTAGAGGCGATTTGCGTCTAATATAGTTAATAAAAATAGCACTCATTCGAATGGACACGGAGCGTCGTTAAAAACGCTTGTAAATGTCACTTGGGATCGGGTTGTAATAAACAGTGATCCAATATTTCCGTAGATCTACCGAGCAATCACGGACAGGCAATCAACTGTAACGGTAAGTAAGAAATTAAGCAACCTGAAGTGAGTTAAAATCAAATTTTCTGCAGATCATTTCAGATTAGTTGCATCATTAATCGATGAATTTGTTGGCGAAAGGATTTATTATGAAATCCCGGTAAAAATCGACGTGGAAAAACCGTGCTGCTCGTAAAAATAATAATCTGCTTTTCCTCGAAGTGGATCGGCCGATGAAAAATTTCAGTGCAAATCGAATCTCTGCGAGCAATAAAAAGAAAACAATCAAGAAATAAAAAAGTCTATCCAAATAAAAACAAATCTATACTACCTACAGGATAATTAAACTGTTCGACTCTTTCCATTAAAAAGAACTCCAACAGAATCATTGAAAATATCTATAACCTAATATTTCGCATAAAAATCACTAAAAAAAGAAACAATAAATAAACGATTCAGTGCTTCAATGAAACTTTTTAAAGCAACGAAAATCGAATCGAAGAATAGCAATTAAATAAATGTTCCTAACACCTATTAAAACGGTGACGAAGTATTTTCGAAAGTCGCCAAGGAATCAATGAACGCAGAGAGAAGTGGATTGATCGGGCAACTGATCAGACGTTTCCGAGAGACGATTCCGGTTGACAAATGAACTCGTCGAAAACAGGGCTCGTCAAAGTCCCCGGACGATCTCCGCTGGAAAAGAAGACGAACACACACGCCGCGGTAGATCTCTCACGTCTGTCAGACGTGACACGTTTATCTTAAACACTGTTACGTTAAACAGCCGCGGAACTCATTAGTTAGGTTGCCCGCTCGCGGGTCGCGTTACGTGCGGTTGGCTATGCTAGTTGGCCCATTAGCGAAATTAGAAGAGTATTTTAAACGCGCGTGTAATGAAAACAATTGCGGATTCCATTTAGCCGGCCGCGGATTCTTTTTCCGCGTCTTTAATCACGATTTCCTTTAAATTCGCGCTCGTTACTCGATCGTAAGGCGTTGCGACTATTTTTTTTACTGTCAGATAACTGAGAGAACAATCGATGTCCGGTTCGAGAAGAATCTACTAAAATCGATTAAACAGAAAATATCACAATGGGAGACGCAATACGCTTCTTTATTTATTTATTTATAATTGTTACTCTGTGATGGTCAATTATACAATAACGTACAGCGTAGGATATAATTGGAATTTATTAATAAACTCATCGGATAAATCCAAATGAATGTATCAACAAACGAATTAAGAGGAACTAGCAGTTTCATCTTCCTCCGCTTTAAAGAATGATCCACCGAAGTTTGATTAGCAATATAATTAACGTAGGTAATCAACAGGCAGAAGCTAGTCGACGTAAGCCCCTGTTAATAGAACTCCGTTCACTTTCGTGGACTCAGTTTTCACGTAGAAACGTCAAAGACAAGCCTGTCGACGTAATGAAGATCGAACGAGGAAACGAGTCGAAGGAAGGGCTGCGGATTGGTCAAGATCGAGCCGTGGGTTTCCGCGAAATAACGGGAAGCCGAGGGAAAGGGGAAAAAACGTCGGGGGTTAAGTGGCACTCCCTGCAAGGCATAAACAAGCGTTAGGGACATGAATGGGATCACGTAAAAAACAGATTTCCACCCTCGATCTCGTACACGAAACGTGATTTCGAGCCGTCAGTTCAACGGGGCGGGGGCGAGGGGTGGAAAAAGGGCGTTACGGATTGGGGCTAACCCTGTAAGCGATCCCAGGGGCTCGTCAAGAACGATCTTATGATTGACCGTGTTACGGCACTCCCTGTAGACCATTTTCCGGGCGTATCTCGGAAATACATTCGAACGAGAGGCTGTCCTGGCAAGAAAGAACGATCGTGACTATCTGGCGACCATCTGCAACTCTGTACGCCGATTCTTGCGGACGTTTTCGATGCTGCTGGGGCGAATGATCGAACAACTCGTAGATGGAACCATTTGTGATTAATCTGCTTCTGATTCTGGTTGGTTGATGGCGTGATTCGAGTTTGACGAAATTTAGTATGTAGGTAGGTAATTTAGTGTTCAGTGATTCTGTAGATACAGGGTGCTTATCTTGTAACATTGGAAGCAGAGAGTGATGCGTGAGGATTGAAGAGTGTATTTAAAGCAGGATTCTAATGAGTGACAATTTATGGAAGCAGTGTTTAGAAGTAACGGATGCAGTTATTATTTGAAAGTAGGTGAACATTCTTGCGTCGAAACAATTGGAAATTTCCTACACGCTGTTACGAAAGAACGGTGCTACGTTCTCGCGTTCGTTGGAAAATATAGTCCACTTTGAATAACATTTGTCGCGCGTGTTTCAATCACCCGAGCCGCGATAACACGGTAAATTTCCGATTGTAGGCGCGTTATATTTTTACCGGTCGGATTTCGGAGTCTAATCTCATTGACATAAATAGCAGTGTCAGTGGCGCGCGGTTTAATTCGCATTGTAAATTCAGTAACGGTGCAGAAGCTGGCGTGTTCGTGCTTGAAAATTGCAGCTCGCCGAGCGATAAGTATGTAAAATATCGCAGAAAGAATGTGGCAACAAATGCGTGATCACCATTAAGTTGAAACTAAAAGTAAATTATCGGTTTTCCCCATAAGCGAGTACGCGCATTACGGCGCCGAACGATCGATGAATAAAATTGTATTTACATAAATTTCTCCGGCGGCCAGGCTGTAACGTTTACGAAACTATTATCGTTCAACTCAACCGAACTCTCTAAACGAGTTATATCCGCAAGCAGAAAACCTCAATTTCCCTGCAGCCAGCTAATTCACGTTCAACCAAAGAAACAAACCCCATCAAGAATTCCCAATAACAAAGTGGCAACGTCAAATAACCAACAAGAACCCCATAATTCCATTACAATCTCCCAATTACCATTAAATCATTAAATTCTCGATCAACCAACCGAACCATCTCTATTCGATAACATTTCTTTCCAACGAAACAATCTTCAAAACAACCCCGTGAACTGAGGAGTCGACATCCAGCGCAGTTGCGCCGATAATCAGGTACTAAGTAACTAACGGTGAAGCGACCTGGAAAGTCACTTACCTTTCTTCTCGTCATCCTCGTCGGCGTGATCGGCGACGTGATGAAGCTGATGGGGGCCCGGATGGTGGCTAGTTATCGCTGGCACCAGGGGGAGGTTGCCAAGCGCCGGGTGCGGATGATGAGGATGATGATGACTGAGGAACCTGACAGCAGCCGCCGCGGCCTGATGCTGGGCCTGCATCGTCTGCTGTACCTGACTTTGTACCTGTCCGAGGACCGGATGGTGCGGTGGCCATGCTGTCAGGTGGAACGGAAACACGGGTGTCGCCCTCTGGAACAGCCTGGCCGGCGTCAGGAGGGAACCGCCGGAACCAGTGGAACCGCTACCAGGAGGCAGTGGGAAGGACAGACTACCCCCTGGTTCCAGGACCATGTTTGGTACCAACTTGATGACTTAACGTCTCTCCGATGGAGAGGCCTCACTTCTTTTGCATTTATGGACCTCTGCCTGTTCCCTATCGATGCTACTCCTAGAGTGATTCTTCGTCCTGTGCGTTCACCGGACGCGACACAGGAGGATGACAGTCTGTTCGAATTCAAGTGTTTCAATTGGAGTCTTGACTCGACGTAAGAAGACCATGAAGCAGCTGGCAGACGTGCCGTTTGTTTACATGTTTTTTAAGACGAACACTCTTCCTCTAAGGGGTGGTTTTCGGTTTGCGCGCAGCGTTTCCGGTTCCCGTGATCCTGGCCATCGGAGATCGAGGTTGATTAACGGGAAACGATGGACTGATGGGTTTCAACGATGTATTGGCAACAGTCCGTTTGCAAGTGGTAGCGCAGGTGCCGTCGGAAGGTGAGCCTCCAGGTCTCGATGGTGTAAACAGGTGAATTTCGCAGCACCGATGGAACTTAACTGGTTCTTGCCGTTCTATGCGTCAATGTATCAGTCTGTTCTCGAGTGTGCTATTGAAATCGAGGGTTTTGACAATTCTGTCATGGAGTAAAGTGTCTATGAACTATTCTTCTAGCTAAGAGAAACTTTTCTGAACGAGGTGGACACGAGTCAGCCCGAAGAGTCCATCGTCCTTTCTACACTCACAGTCTCTCCGAAGTGTCACTCCAGTCACTGAAACAATTCCCGATCAACTGTCATCGGAATCGATATCTAGCGTTCGGCTGAAGCTTCTCCGAAATGTCCGGTGTGTCCTCGGCACCAGGAACCAGGTTACAAGGAGAGTCACCGAGAAAACAGGTCCGTATATGGGGAACACCGGTGGCACACTAAAATATCAACACTTCCCAGCCAGCTGCGGTTGCAGGGTGGCACGGGGTTCGCCGCGCGATCGGTCACCGACAACAACACTGATCAGCTGACGTGGGACCCGGTCGACACTGGTCCGGTCCGACGGGTCTATGCAGCGAATTCGGCCACGTAACGAACGAATTCCATGGATTCCTTGGTTTGCGAGGGTCCTGTTAGTGTTAGGACCACTACGGCACGAGCCAACGGCACAGCACTATCTGCCCGGAGAGTGAAGTCAACGGCTCCCCTCTGTACACCGAACCGAAACTGGTTTCGGTCGACACCCAACGGGCAGGGATTGGCCGAACAGGTGGTGGGTTCACCGGTGCCGCTCGACGCCCGGCCAATCCCCGCCGACGGATTACGAAGCTGACTCCTCCCACCGGACGGTTTTTTAGCCCCGGAATTGAATCGACGCCCCTTCCCGCCAGCGGCGCAGCCAGCGGTGGGGATGAATCAATTGGTGGCTGGCCTGAAACCGGCCGCAAGATGGCTCCTCCCTACCCCAACGGCATTCAGGAAATCACCCCTGCCGTAGACCCTTGCCGACCTTAGTCTCTAATTCGAGCGGGACGCGATCTTCCTCTTTTAACGTCCAAATTTTCACCCGGCAGACGGGAAAAATTTTCGACCGGGCTCCCTTGATTTTCCCTGGCGAATTTGAATTTTGCCGCGGAACCCGGGCCCGGATCGCGGGAAATTCGACGCGTGCCGATGGATCGATATAATCGGTGAACGCGCGAAGGACGAGACGACTCGGCTCGCCTCTGCTCGGCTCGTCTTGTCTTCCAGGGAAGGAGAGAACGTTTCCCTTTCTTCGCCGATCGGTCGCCGACAATTGTTGTGCTGCCACCACTCCGTGCAACCCCCACCAGGCCTGTCCTCTACACCCCTCCGGCCCTCGAGGGCACGATCCTCTTTTAATAAGAGGAGCTCCGAGCTCGGAGGCGTTAAGTAATTACATCTATTCTCTTCTGGGGAGGAAATTACCTGCGCCTCGGGGTGGGAA